ATCCGCATCCATGCTTCTTGCACGGGCTGTCTGCCCCGGCTCGCCTGTCTGCCGTATCAACTCCTCGCTACCTAGGTGCAATGACCTGAGGCTGGTGCGATGACCGAGCGGGCACCACACACCACGCGGTGGCTGTGGGCAATGGCATTGGAAATGTCGGGGCGAGCTACGCATCTCAAATGTGGTCTGGAAGCATCAGCATGGAGCTAATAGACCATGAGGATATGAGGCTCGCCACCCCATGAACGAGCTAATAAACATGAACCATCTCAAGACATGATAATTCAATTGAACATGATTATCTAATATTATCTACACGTGTGGAGTCAGACTTTATCTGCTGGGGCGTGTCATGACCTTCGTGCGTGTGGAAAAAGAACTGCAAGCAATTTGGCCACCCATGGATATTATCCAGAAACAGGACACCGGACTTGCTAAACAAACCGTCGAGGTGGCCTCTTCTCACAACATCACTGAACAACAACTTGCAAATTGAGTGTCTCAACTCTTTGAGGTCGTCACCGGTCCGATCTTGCAGCATTCCAGAACCAACTCTTTGGCGTCAGTATCCCAACACCAAGCTCCCAGCATCTCCTTCTCAAAGGTCTCTTCTGATCTCATCAAAGCTCCTGAGGGCGTGGGCCCCATGCTGCTTGGCTCCGTCTTGGTCACTCATCCGTCTGGGCTGTCACGCCGCCGTGTCTGGGCCCTCCGTCCTAGGTCACTGTGGGCTCTCCAGGTCCGATCGAGTGCCACGGACCTCGGACGAGCGGAGCTGTGGCAGGGCAGAGGGGTGGCGGCCACACCTGACCGCGAGGCGGAGGTGAGGGCAGGGCCAAAGAGCCGCTGCTGCATGGGCCATATGGGATGGGAATCCGGACCATGTCCTGGAAGCACCTTGAAGGGAAGGGGTGGACGAAAGGTAGTACCAGGTTGTAGCAGGTAGGTAGGCAAGGGAGTGGGGGCGTTTGCGGATGAAAATGACGGACCAACAGCGCCAACAGCAGACCAGCGCCGCGCCAGCGCCCAGAAGCAAAAGACCAGCCAGCAAGCAAAGGATGGGGAGCAACAGAAGAAGTCGGCCACCGATGAACATGAGTGGGAACACGCATGAGAAAGATCGTGTAAAGATCTTCATGTCAGGGATGAACCTCGGAAATCGTTTTTCAATGTGTTTGTTCATGTTCCTGGAGCCATGTCCCATCCATCTTATCCCTGGCGTGATGCTACCTTGCTAGGTTTTGATATGGGAGTCAGCTTGGAACACCTGGGCCAACTTGATCCTGCTCCTCTTCCTGCTCCCGACGTGATGATGCAGATCATGGGAGCCGAGCCGAGCCAAAACAACGCCAAGGCACGCTGCAGCGGTCTTCACGCCATTCAGCTCCTGGCAACGGACATCAACGGCTTCCCCCCCGATCGCTCCTGGTAGTTCGGCTTTAGACTCAGCCAGTGCCTTGAGCACTCGAAACCGTCTCCAGGCCACCAGCACAAGGAAACCCCAAATCTAGACTGAAGCGAAGGCACTGAATTGAAGAACTGATCGCACTCCCAGATCTATCGAACAATATCGAAAAGTCCTATAGGTCCGAGCGGTACACAATGCAATTGTTTGGATCAAGTGTTCACTATGCTTCGTGATGCGTTGTTTGGACCAAGCTGGGGTGCGTTTTCTGGCATGGAAATGTAACAAACCCATCAAATTCCATCAATGACGTTGAAGGAACCAAATCCAGTCGCAAGTGGGCACCTTTTTCACCCTGGAAGGCCCTTGCACTTGGTGTCTTCCAATGTCTCCCCCATCCTGCCTCATCTCCCCGCGCGGCGGCCGCTGCGGTGTCCGCAGAGATCTCCGACTCGCCTGGCATCTTCAGGGGCTTGAGGTAGTTAATCCATGCCGAATCTCGTCAACAAAAAGCCCCCTTGGCCACAGGCACATGTTCCACAAGCCTGTGTGGCAGATTGATCTCAAACTTTCGGCTTTGACAGATTCTCCAACTAAGCTACCATAGGACCATAGGTGTTTCCACCCCAGGCTCTCCAGCGGCTCCTTATCCACAGAAACTCTATCATTATCAAAGGATTCCCCCTTCTATCCGGACCTATACAATCTTCGATCTTCCGCTCAGCTTATCCATGAGGTCGCTAAAATAATGGACATAAAAGATCTTGAAATCACAGGCTTTGGTTGTGTCGAGTCTTCTTCCGGGCCGTGCTATTTACGGCTTCCTGGTTCCTTGCGCGTTCCGCCTTCTTCCTCGCTGGCTCCCGTGGCTGCAGCCCAGGCGCCCACCTGCGTCCGAAGGACAGAGGGCTCCAAGCAGCACAAGTGTCGGGCCGGTACTCAGACTCAGAGTGATTCCCTCTCTGTGGGTGTAAGTGAGTTGTTGAGGTGATTTGAGGTGACTATAGACTTATAGCCTCACAATACCCGCCACTTCTTCATCTTCTGAATGCTTCCGCTCGTCCGTCCATTGGCTTTCTGAAACCATCCGCCACCAGCTGACCCAACACCCAAACACCACCCCCAACTCCCAGAGTCACACCGGTCACAGGAAGAATCGACCCAAATCCATCCTCCGGCCTCAGCCCGCGCTGCGTCGGTGAAGCCACCCTTCTGGGCCGCCTCTTCAGCCAAGTGCGCCTAGCCGGGTCACCAGCGACCGAGCTTGACCCAGGAGAGGTCGGACGTCCGGCCAAAGAAGCGCGCCCCAGCTATGTCACCATCCACATGAACTGGTTTTTGGTTTGACCAGCCATTTCTGGGTGGCATGGGTAGGGCCAAGCTGGATGGTGCGGGACTGGTACAGGGTCTCTATATATGCAGCGGTCTATACTTGGGTCTATGTGGGGCCAACTGGCCCCCAGGGGACTTGAAAAAGGGGAGTTCAATTTTGTAGGGCCTACTGGAAGATGTTCATCCAGCACATTTCTTAACATCTTGAACAAACTCACACTGCCAGGAGAAAATAACTTATCTAAAATACAATATGCTAATCTATCACTATCCCTGGATATCCCAGGATGGAATCTCTCCAAGCTCTTCGTGCTTCATCTGAAAACACGGAGCCCACCAGCACCTCACACCACACTCGAACTCGAGCCGAGCTCCCCCGCCAGCTGAGGCCCTTCCATTTGGGGCGCCCCCAGGCGCACCGCAGCACCCAGCGCGCCCAAGGCCAAACGCTCCTGAAACGGGTGTACGGGTGTCGTCTCCCATGCATGGTGAGGAGGGAGCTCGCATTGAGCTCGCTGGGCGGGTCGTAATGGACGTGTTGGAAGAGCACGTGGTGCACACGCCAGTGCACACCCAGTTAAGATGATCATATGGCACAAGTGACACAAGGCCTTATATAAAGAATATTAAAGGGTCACCACGGGCTTTCTTCAGTGGAACTGCTAGGGCGAAATGGGATCTTGCACAGCCCACACCCGGCCCCACCATGTGCCACCCTGCCAAAACTTTTGAAACTCAGTCGTCTCCACCCCAGCAGGGCTCCTCCTCCTGCGAGTTCTTCTTCATCTCCTTGGCGCTCTTCTCTACGGCCGCGGCGGCGGCCACGGCCTGCTCCACTACTGAAGCGCCTCGAGACGAAGGAGTTTCATCTCTCGCTGCAAATGGATATGCCCTTGTGCTGCCAACTCCCACCCCCGCCCTCCTTGGGGTCGGCGGCCGCCCTAAATCCGGCGATGCCGCATTGTAAAAGCGCCAAGCTAGCTTGTTATACCCCTGCTGCCGACCCGCATCTTCTGCAGCATCACCAATCCACCAGACAGAAAGAAATAACACCAACAAGAACTTACATGCTTCGGTCTGTGGATCGCGTGTGTTGCTCACCAGTCGTTGCAAAATCAAAAGCCAATATCAGCCTTGGCCTCGGAAGCTATGAGCTGCTTCCGCAGGTCGGTCTTGGATCATGCTTGATCGAATCAACATGTGCGACGTTCGAATAACAAACACATCGCACATTACGGTGCTTGTGCTATGTTGTTGAATCACCAGATCACTCGGCAGCCACATGCTCAAAACCGTCCGCACACAAGGAAGAACAGTGACAGCGACAACAACCCTTGTGGCATCGGCAGTTTGTGCTCTTGGAGCTCAAAGCTCCATAAACCTCCGACCTTTTTTGAGCTCCAAGAGCCTTCAGGAACGCTCACCCTCCGGTGACTCCAACCAATCATGGAAGTGGTAGAGGGGACCCTGGAAAGACCACTTTGCAATGACTCTAGAGTGCTGTGCAGGTGAGCCGCACTTGCCAAGCGAACATCAGTGACGCTACGGATAGTGGTCATTGAGTCTTGCAGATAACCGTGCTCTCCACTTGAGCCTTTTTCTGTTTCGATTCCAGGCCCGGTGGATCCCAACGTTGCCAGTGGCCCAGCCAGAGGTTGAAGGACCTCATAAGAATACCCATGACTATCCCATAGGTACCCCAGTAGGGTCCTATAAGGTCACTTAGGTCACTTAACATCTCTGGGAGTGGATCCCACGTTTTTCGCAGTGGCACAAATTCCGCGTTTTGTGGAAGGCACTGCGCCTTCCCGTTGCTTCTCCTCCAGTGCTGCGCTCGCGCTTTGCTGCAGCTTCTCTTGGTTCTTGCTGTCGGTGGTGACACCTGGCAGGTGCAGAACGCTGGCGCTCAGCAAGGGCAAGGGAGGCTTGTTTGGCTCATACCCATCGCGTGTCTGCTTCCAGCTATTTCCAGCTCGCGTGAAGTGCCATAAAATGCCACTTCCAGGCCCCCCAAGTCTGGTCAAACATGATTCAACATCAGGGCGTGCGTCTTGTTTGGATTGTCCCCTTGTCAGTTCCACGATGTTCTACTGGATGCCCAACGAATCCTAAAGATATATATATATATATACACACGCAAGTTTGTCCACCTATTCCCAGTTTTCATGCCCCGGGGTCTCCTGAAGAAAAAAATCCACAAAACCGCTTCGCCACAGCTGCCGCCGCTTCACTGCCGACTGCCGTTCTCCCTTCGCCTTTTCTTCTCCGAATCAGACTTGCGGCAGAGCAGAAGCAGACGCGACCCGGTGGGGGCACCTGGGCACCTTCGCGCCGGAGCGTCGACGCTCCACAGCCAATCAGAGGAGCTGGTTCAAGACTTTGTCCGAGATCCCACCGGTTAGATTGGAACCTCCGCCGCGCCGGCGGGACCGGAAAGCAAGCAAGCAAGGAACCGGTGACGAGACGGTGGAGTGGAGTCAGGAGTCGGCCGGCTACAAGGTCAGTGAAGGCATTGATTTCCTCATGTTTCCAAGGCAATTGGCTTACCCTATCCTCCTGAAGAAGCGTGACCATTACATAATAACATAATACCATCCAATTCAATGCTGGTAACAAGTCCAAGTTGTAGATGAAGAGTGCCATGATTGCACCAACATGCACCAACTAATTACAAAATAAGCACATATAGAATCATATAGAAACATACGAAAGAAGACCAGGCACTTGCTATGCAAAGGGGACACCCACTTTAAAGAGAAAAGAAAAGAACAAGGTAGAACCATTCGTACAACGGTCACCTCCTCTCCAAATCCCCCGCGCCTGCTGTGCTTGGCCTCCCACCCGGCCGCACCATTGCTGTGGGCTTCGCCGTCGAAGAACCGCTCGGCGCGGCATCAGCAGCTCCGTGTCTCTTCTTGGCGGGGCGCTCGGCGATCCTCTGGCGGGTTTTCGCCTGGACGGGATGCGACTCGTGTGGATACGACGCGGACGCTGAAGGCTAGACTTGGCAGGTGAGTGGCCGAAGAATTTGACTTGGCCATTTTTAGCCAGGAAATGCCATGTCCCAAGCCGAAAGATTCCCCACTCTGGGTTCAAATCACGGTCAGGTTTTGGGCAACCCCTCACATAGGTCACCATGCTCACAAAAAATCCAAGAAGTCCCGATGTCACGGATCTCGATTCACTGGTTTCAGACTCACCCGTTAACCTTCGGATCAACGGTCTTGAAGAACATTTTTGCGTTTGAGCCATCGATTTCCCAACCTGGTTGAATCAACCTGAGAATCCGCTAAAAGGAAAGGATTGGACATCCGAAACCAAAGCCGAGTGCTCCGTCTACCACGGAATACCACGAAACCCTCGTTGCACGTGGTGGTGCAGCAAAAGATCTGTCGCACAGCGGCAGTCGCGGCGCGGGGTTCATGACCAATCACATGTCACGGGAGGCGTTCGAGGGATTTGTCAAAGGCTCCTTTTCCAGTTCTGCCAGGAACAGTCAAATCCAGCTCAAGCACACTGGCAGACCAGCTCCACGCGCATTCAGTGACTGTAGCCTCAGGCTGCTTGTTTTTGTGTCAAACTAGTTCAATATCGTCAGATGTCAGGGACATTCCGGGACACTGACAGCTGATGCCAAACTGCTGCCGTTGATTTGAAGTGCCACTGTAGTTGCTACTCTGCTACTCCTTCCTTTCGGCGACTCATTTCTTGGGCTCGCCATCTTGGCAAATGCCAGGCTCTGCTTCGTCCGTTTTCGGGCCTCATGCTCTTCCAAATGCCAGGTTCACCACCGGCCACTCCTCTTGGGCCGGATCTTCGCAAAGGCGGAACTCCTAGGCACCCGTCCGCTTCAGCAAGCCTCGAAGACACTTGCCGATGGGGTTGAGATGGAAAAGTGGGACCTCCACTCATCACTGCGGCCATAAGATCGGCTCTGAACTCGGACCCTTGGTGTTGTTTGGCGGCCTGTGATCTTGTGGGAGTTGCTCTCAGCCACCCTACAGTACTCGAGGTTCCCCACTGCATTGTTTGTCTGGTCAAGGTCCTTGTGGCTCGAAGTTCCGCGAACTTGGAGGCCCAAGGAACGGATATGCCACCAACTGGTGAACGTTCGGACATAGTGGCATTTGGAACCGAACGACAAGTCAGCGGTGCCCATCAATCCGTTTAGACCCCCTGCATGTGCGTCCATACGACGTGATGCGGCCAAGGGAGCTCACCATCCTGTCAACAGCTTCGATCTAGGGTCGATCCTGGGCCGCCAATCCTCTGCTGTGCATCCTTCAGGCGTCACATACTTGAAACACCCCGAGCCGAGCCTCCCTGAAACAACGGTCCTTCACGACCTGGTACTCAATGCCCAGTTCTTCGGATGCTGCCTTGACCGACGGAAAGGTTCTGGACCTCCCAGACGCCCAAAGTCTCACCCTCACGGCTTATTTGGATGTGGGGCACCCCTCAACAAACTGAGACCTTTAGAGCGGGACACACGTTCAGGTGTCCACTCCAAGTTATCCCACATATTGTTGCTGTGGTTCCCATCTTTGTGTCTCACCTGCCATGATCCATTGCTTGGCGGAGGTCCATGGAATGCAAATGCCACGAGGCGGTGGGCTTGGAACTTCTGACCAGCAATGCCAACTTCGTAGTAGCCACTCCCACGCAAGTGTCCATAGCTAACGGCTCCTCGAGTGTTCCGAAACCTCCCAAGCGAACTCACTTCCCAGCACGTTCCTTTTCATGTATCCCTTGCCCCCTTCAATGGCTTCAAGCCAGTATTAACCTGCAGCAGCATGCGGTGAAGCCAAAAGCGAAGCAAAAACTGCAATTGCCCCACACACCTTGAGGCTCTGGACCGATGGGGCGGTAGGCCATGGATGTGTAGCAGCTCCGGACATTTTGGTGCATGAATATATATATATACACATATACATACACTGACACGGTGCTTGCCACCACAATTCCATTATGTACTGGTGCTATTCCCGAGTCTGACTCAGCATAGATGATTGCACTGCCTCGACGTCGACTTCTAGGATGAGTCCAGTCATCCAGGGAACCGGTATATACGTCAATCTTAAATCTTTTTCACTGGCCCAGGCATTCAACTTAGGCAAAAAATGATTGTTAATTATGTTAATTGGGCTACCAGATGTTACTATCCACAACTGACTACCGAGCTAGAGTTGCCAAGACATGAATGCCCGGCATGCATGTGGAGCCTAAATCTGCTTGGTGATCGAGCTAAACGTCCAAACAAACGAAACAAAGGTCTTGTCCATCCCTCATCACAGTGACAGGAGTTGCAACGTGTTTCAACATTACTGACTGCCTCACACCCAACAGCAGCCTCGTTTACAAAGCAGCCTTGTATTGGGTTGCATCGGCAATCTTCAGATACTTTGCATTTATATATCTTGTGTTTAATGTTGTTTGGTTATTTTTGCTTGATGACACATGATTTATCGGGAGGGTAAGGCAGATGACTTGGGAATGTGTGAGTGCCATGTGCGTTTTCTAAATCCCATATCATCCGAAGGTAGTAGATATACTACAGTAAGCCTTTTGCTCCCTCCAGTCTTCCGGAACTCTTGATCAAGACGAAAGCTGCCAATCTCTGCCAATGACGCTCCAATCACCCCTTCCACACCGTGCCGCTTCCAAACATCTTCCACTCCAACAATCTCCAGTCCCAAGGCTACCCCCCGAATCTGCACCACCCTCTGACAACCCAGGGCTCCGGAGATCGCTGGCGGCGGGTCTGCTTCGATTTGTCGAAGGGGTGGTCATGGGTCAGGCGGAGGAGCCATCGATCAGTCGTCCCCTAGGGATCCGCACGGACCCTCCTTAGAAGGGGTCGAACCCTCTAGTTCACAAGGGTTTGGGGCCCCGAACCAAACCCTTGTTAAGGGTGCGGATCCTCAAACAAATAGCAGATTGCCACGGATCCTTCTATTGAGGCCCAACGGGCGTTTCCAATCGGACTGCGGCCAGAATGCAAAAGCAAAAGCAAAAGCATGTAGAGCAAAAAATGATGTCGGATCAAACTTACGAAGCTGCCTTCTCCACGCTTTCCAAATAGAAGCTGTTTTCTCTCGTAGCCTGGCGCAAAAATCAGCAAGACAATTTTTTGGCTACTGAAGCAAGCGTTGTCAAAAGCAAGAGACACTTGCACAAATATATTAATTAGAATAGTATTCAATATATGTAGTGATATAGCGAGGTATCCAGTAACAGCGGATGATGATGGTTAGTTAGCAAAACATGTTTTTGAACACCCTTTCCAAAATATTGACAACAGTGATAACTGTTTACCGACTGTTACAAGTAATGATGACAACGGGACATACCCAATAGTTGCTGTTGGTACCAAGCGTGAACCTGCTGAAAGAGTTTGGAGGTGTCTTGTCTCTCGACACAGTTTAACACAATGTTCAACACAATGCACTTACAGTGCTGTAGACGTTCGTTAAACAAATATGTTTGCTCTTAATTAACCACTGGATCAAAATCAAAATCACTCAACTGCCGGAGTACGCCCACGGGCCTGGCTGATCTTTTGCTGCAGGCGTGCTTTTCGAACTTGCCTTAGTTCGGAATCCGAAAGCTAGACAAAGCGATGAGAGGCAAGCAAACCAGCAGCATACAAGCAGCAGCCCAGCAGCATACAAGCAGCAGCCCGAGATGATCACTCACCACGACGTCCGAGACGACTTCAACCAATCGCCCGTTCGCCATCGTTCGTCGTCCGGGCCCACACGGGGCGAGGTGCTGATCGTAAATGGCGCCCTCTTTCAGCATGTGCCACTTGAAGCCGGGCAGGTAGCCTGGAAACGACTCCGCGGAGGGGAGACGAGAGGGGAAAACGGATCTAAAGGTGAGCAGATCTTCACGATCTTCAACTTCTGAATGGTTGGAGGCTACATGAGTCCATCTGGCTTGAGATCACTCTTCTCAAATCAACTGCGCAACCCAACCCCCGGCGCAGAAACGTGCCAGAAACGGATACACAAACAGCTCACCTGGCGGATTCACCTGGCGCTTCTGCCAAGTGGCGCATGTTCCACATGTCGTCACGAAAGAAGTTGTGCCGCTTCTTCCTCAGTGGCCAGGATGCAGACCACCCCGGTTCAACCGCACCCTTCGACATCCACCACAGTCGTCAAGGCACCCAAGGCACTCCATGCTCATTCCATTGTCCTTCCTGGGTCCTTCCGTGCGAGCCAGGTGACCCTCCAATGGTGCTCCCATGCAAGGTGGCAGCAACCCGCTTGGCGATGCGACGATCCATGAACCTCATCAATCCAACTGCTTGCTGGAGTGAGGCTGGTCGGGCTGGGTGTGTCGGTTGAGCTTCAGAAGGAACAAAGAGGGGCTGGTTCATCTCCAAAGTACTTTTTAAGGTTTCCCTGCCCCATAAAGAATTCACCACGGTGTCCTGCTATGAAATGTTGCCAACCATCCACATTGGTACGAGCATGTGTGAGTAGTTGGTGGGTCAAACCGTGCAAGATGACGAGGGTCTTCAGTGTTGAACGCCTCACGCGGAAAGCCCCTCCGCAAGTGGGTGACCTTCTGGGCCTTTCGACTCCGTGATGGACAGTAGTTAGTCGACTCCCTGCGAGTCCGAGATGCAGCTTTATGCCGCTTTGAGAACCCCAGGAGCTGGCAACCTACCTAATCACTTGTGGATTTCGATGCATCAATCCATCTAAACTCTTAACTGTTTCTTGTCCAGTGAGGTGCCGCGCACGCCATACGTTCAGACGGTCTCTTCTCAGCTCGGCTCCAAGTGGCTCGACCCAGCCTTCGGTGTAGCGCACCTTTCGGTTGCCGCCCGCGCGCTTGCGACTCCTCGGGAGTCAACGAATGTACCCAGACACTCCATGGGACTGCCATAGGACTGCCGATCAGGCCAGGGGTGGTTTGGAGGGTCAATGTAGGCATATATATTCCATATATGGAGTGTATGGGATATGATGACAACCCCTCGTCTCCAATGGTTGACGTGCTTATTAAGATCTTCACAAAAAGGACGTTTCTGTTCTTCGTCTAGGGTCTCTGATTCTATCTATAATGGCCTGTCATGAACTCTTAAGACCACCAAAACATGCAAAGCGCATCCAATTGTCCAAAAGTATTTGAGTGTTCACTGGCAACCAATATGCTCTGTACAGGTTCCAACGAAAGATTCTTTCTGGGACCCTGCTGTTCGAACCTCAAGTTGGGAGCCCGCCAAGAAATGACCCAGAGCTGCACACATGAGCTCTATGTATCTCCCTCCCAAGCTGCCCAGCTGTGCTTGCCAGGCATCATCTGCTTCCTCTTCTCCTGGAACAAGGGTGCAACATGGTCCAGCTAAACAAATGTGTTCAGGATTGCATAAGTGTCATCCATTCTCATCATCTTGGCATCCAAAAATGCCTTTCGTTGGTTTGTCCATATATATATATATATATCCCATATATCCTCAGTATGTCGGCCTGGGGTTTCCCCCGGCTACAAAAGCTGCAACTTGCCCGGACATCTCTCCGATTGAACTGCAACACCTCACGACACCGACACCAACACCTCCGACACACTGAGGATCCGGATGTGGCTGCACAGGAGGTGTTGGTCAATTCGACCCAAGAAGGTCAACACCCAGCACCTCGGAGGTGCAAGAACGTCAAGCACCCCTTTCCTCGGCTCCTCAGGTGCCAGGTAGACGCGTCCCACTTCCCCAAACTGCTCCATGAGATGTCGCAGCTTCTGAAAGCCCATCACCAGTGGGATGGAGGCCAAGTGAATCACACCTCTCCTGGACGCATGGAAGCCACGTACAGGGTCCCATCGACCGAATTCGGCTGGCCGGACACCTGCGAGTTCCAGATCTGATCCATCACGACAGGTCAAAACTCGCAGCCTTGGGGTCCTCATGAACTGAGCCTTATATTCTATCAGTTAGTAGTCAGTTAGTTATAGTTATATGTTATCATCATCATGCTTCTAACAGGCCTTCTGCTTCTAAAAAAGACTGATGCTCCACCCAAAAACGTCCAGATCCCGTCCGGCTCAGCGTCCGCTCCTGTCCACCTTCGCCGCCTCGCCGCCTTCGGCCTCCGCGGCCTCCGCGGCCTCCGCGGCGCCGCGGCGCCTCTTCGGCGGAGGCACCTCGCGCGACGGCGCGCGGAGGTTCGCGGCAGCCGAAATCGGTGAAGACCGATTAAGCGGCCGACGACGACTTCCATAGGAAGAGAAGTATTGAAGTATTTTGAAGTACATTATATAATAAGTCGCAACTTTAAATGCAGTTAGTCAGTTGCTCAGATTGTACATGCAATGGGCCTGGCACCAATTCCAAGAGACAATTAATAAGCCTGACAACTTGATGAGCAGCTGAGTCACTTTGGCGGGAGCTTTCTTTTCAGCTTTCTCTGGCACCTCAAGTTTCTTTCGTCTACGTCTTGGGGTGTTGGATGGTGTTGAAGTGGCTCATGCTAGATACCAGTCTGCTTGGTGGTTTCAACTCGCTTGAAACATATTTGTCAGTCGGTTCAATCATCCCCAAGTAAAGGTTGGAAACAACAATATCTGAATATCTAAAACCAACACCCAGCAGTTCTTTGACTCAGCATATGCCATCATATGCATTCATATGCCTATATTTGAGCCCCAATGAATTTCTGAAAATGAGCCCAGCCGCCCAAATCACAACGGGCAAAGTAGAATCCAAAACATCTCAAAACCCAGCGAGGGCCTGTGCGGCCCAGGGCATCTCCCAGCCCCCGAACGAAGGCACGCTCGAACCAGGTACAGTAGCCAACAGCCACGTGAACTTTTCAGAACTGATGGCATAAGTATGGCATCTCCACTGGCATCTCCCTATGTCAAGTGGCCAGCTCTTCAGTTGCGATGCTTTCAGCCACCACGCCACTTGGTGCGTCTGGCTCCTGTCAAAATGATGCATTCAAGCCAAAACAGTCTTGCCCCTTGCACCGGCCAATCTCAATCTTGTGCCGTCCCACTCAGGACCTCTCTCTCTCCATCGTCATCCCTGGCGTTCAGCCCAGCTAAAGGCGAGCAGCTGGCCCGCTTGAGTCCATTTCTCCTTTGACCACCGCTGCCAGTGCAGTGTCTCCCTATTCCATGACTGAACCCACATGGGAACCTAAACTCACGCACCGAAGACACCACAAATTTCGGCACCTAAACTCCATCATTCATTCATGAACCTCTTGACCACTCTCTATGGGGAACTGGTGCCAGTAGATGAACCTTGGCGCTACAAAAGCCTTTGGGACTCCCAAGACTCTGGCTCCGTGGCTCGCTGACGGTCCATCTGTCGGACTCCTGCGCTTTGACACACTTGGCTTTCCGCTTCTTAAGCTTTTTGGGCGCCATGGCTCAGGTCGTGATGGGTTCGATGTATTTCGTGGGAGGCGAGTGTTTCACTACTTGCGCCATGTTTTTCGAAGCGGTGGGGGGCTCAGAGCCGTGTTAAATGGAAGTGATCCAGTACTTCTTGCTGTCTTCCAGGTGGCACTCGGTTTTAATGATGCTGGGGGAAGGTATGCTGCATCCACCAGCTCTTCCCAAGACAGCACATTAGTGCCGCATCATGTGAGTTTGGGATAGTAACTTGTAGTTCGTTCACTGCAAAAAGGTGAAGATGATGTAACAACTTGCCACGAGTCATGCCTGCTTACCTATGGAATTGATTCAAGACTAAAGTGTGCTTAACACAATGGTGAGAAGTGAATGCTTGGCTTGAGCCCAAAGACACATCGAAACACGTGAGCGAATTGCCTGTGGCAAGCAAACCAACAGCCCCCCCAATGACCAACAAGTCTTGAAGACTCTAGGGCTGGGCACCTCGCGACCCTCACGATCGAAAACTGCAGGATCGATCTGAATCCTCCAAACCATCCAACCAAACCAATGATTGGGCCGACATTGGGCGTCCTTTTACCGGGAATGGGACAAAACCTGGAGCCCCAACACCATGTAGCTTGACTCACAGCCATACAATTATATACCATTTGTGAGCAGGTGTTTGCAGTTGGTAGTGAACCTTGGACGAGCTAAACAAAGGGACGAGCTGTTGCTTCTTTCCTGCATGTTCAGACACTTTATATGGTGCTAGCATGTGCTAGCTGCTAGTGGTTTATAGTGGTTTCGCTGCAAACTTCCTTTCCCATCCCCAGGTCTTCTCCACACCTTCCAGGAACTCCGCCGCCCGCATGGCGGCAGTGCCGACATGATTTCGGGCATCGTGGTGGAAGGCCTGGCAAGGACAGATCGCATGTGACCTCCCAAGCAAGGGTGTGCCCAAACTGACCCAAACCTCAACCACAAGCGTCAGCGGGAAGATCAGCTCACGAGAATATGGCTGCACTAGGCACTAACGAGCCGATCTATCCAGCCGATATTGGTGCTGGCGGTCGGATGCAAGCATATGCAAGCTACTCTTTTCACGCCGCAATATGCCAGCAAGACTGTGACTCGTGCTTTGCCTGTCAGAAAGCACGCACTTGTGAATACCTTGTGGCCATGCTGTGACATGTTTCATAAACCCCCACGTCGGCCAGCGGACATCCTTCACTCAAAACAACGTCAGCATGTGCAGAACTTTGGCATAAACTTCGCCATACCTGAGCGCCGCGGTTGATTTTGTTGCGGCTCATGCTCTTGCAGTGTAGGAGTTGAAGGTGGTATTTCAAACATCGCCTGTCCTAGCGTGATTTCTCTTCCAGTGCAGGGCCCAGGACGTGCTGCGTGTTTGTCCGATTGGTGGAGACTGGAGGCCAGGGACACGAACACCCCCCTGCTGGATTTCGCCACCTACATCCACTGGTGGTAGAATCCCCCTGGTCTCAAACCTCTTGGGAGAGGGGTGGCTATTCATCAAGTTTAACCATCTAATTCTTGACTCTAGACTTCAGGATGAAATCCAACCTTTGCCAGGTTGCAAACGCCATCAATGTTGTAGTTGTGGCTCTTTGCCACGCTGGGGAGGGGCTTTGTTGAAATCAGCTGCTGCTGCATGGATGTGAGCTCCTGCGCTGTTGCCAGCTTTGCTTTCCTTGCAAGAGCAACATGTGCGCATTTGGCGGAAACAATAACTGTGAGCGTCCAGCGCCCTGTTCCCAACTACGAGTTCGGTTTCAGAGGAGGGTCCTAAAAAGAGAAGGGTGTGGCAAAAGGAACCGTCAAAGTTGGAGGAAAGCGTCTTGTAGAGAGCTACAGAGACCTGTGCATCCCAGGCAGGGTCGTGGGCTCCGCGTGCCGTCTTGCCCAATAGAACCCGGGCTTCATGCTGGAGCGAATGCACCGAGTAGTTCCCATATCGGGCGTTGTAGCCTTTGAAGATTTCGCCAAGATCCACGACCTGAAGCTCAGTGGAGATATGCGGTGTGGACACCAGCCTACAGCATTTCAATATCTGACTCACTGAGTTTCCACATGTTCGTTTTTTTGGGTGGGGAGTGGGGAAAACCACTCCCCCCAAAAAAGGCTAAGGCTAAAGGTTATCCACTGGGTACGGCTGGGTATTTCAATGTCTCACTTAATTTGTTGTGTCTTCTGAGCATGGAGCTTCTGCGAAATCCACACCCTTCTCAAGCATCATCCACTCAATGTCGGACGCACAACTTTGTCCAACCAAGACAGCATCTGCTGGTAGGAGCCGCTTCAACTTTGCCACGGCCTGGGGAGCAAGACGTGGAAGACATGTTGAACCCGCACAACTCTTCACATGCACTGACATGAAATGAACTGACAAGCATTGAAATCATTTGAAAGCTATACCTCCTCCCAGTCCCGCTCCAGTCCCACTCGGCAGTCGACACTCAGCCCACCAGGCCATATCCCCAAAGCGCCCCGAAAAGGATGACTTGTTTTTGATGGCCTCATTCAAGGAGATGCCCTTGTCCAAATCAGCTTTGGTCACACCAGTGAGGGGAGTCAAACAGCTGATAATCGGTTTCTCGGGCTTGATGATCTCCTCCGAAGGCACGTCAACTGGAGGGGGAGGGGCTGTTCAAACCTGAGGCTTGACAACGTCCGGTTTCATGGCATCATGGAGAAACAAAATGCATCCAGAATCACAACGCATCCCAAGGTTTCATGTACTGCGTCTCGCACCAATCGCATTGTTCTTCGCCTTGAGAAGAACCTCCTCTTGTCCATTCACAAGGGCCACCGAGCATGGGCTGCGCGCTGATATGTCATGGCTGCGGCCAATGGCCACGCACTCCACATCCACACAAAAGACCTTGCCAACGTTGGTGAAAACAAGTTCAGTTCGCACTTCCACCCGAGGAGCAGTAGAAATTTGTGGCCAAAATGGGGGGAGAGCTGAGCTCCCACCATGCGAGCCATTTTTGGATCCTGGTTCTCCAATAGCATGATTTCCAAAAAACACATTAGCACCTGACCATCGATCGGCCACGGCCGGCCTTGTCCCATCGGCTCCTTCTCGGGCTTCGCGATCGACCACGGGCCATGGCGAAACTGCTCACGAATCTTGGGCCGATGAAGTTCTGTTCCTGTTCCAGTCGGTGGACGCCAGGAGTGGTTCGTTTCATGGCCCCTTGTGTCTTCATAGGCCCAGTTGGTAAAATCATATTGTAGCTACTAATTATTGTACTTAACTGCCACCATGTACAGCGAGGTACATCTCATGTTCATCTCTTTTTCACCCTCATGCGGCGCGCACGCGGCTCGTCTCGTGCGTACGCGGCTCGGGGCGCGCACCTGGCTGAAGGCATCGCCCACCCAAACCAGGTTGGCCGCTGCTGGATCTGCGCAGGGAGCGAGAGTGGCAGTCCGGCTGGTGAGATCGGCGAGCCATCGTTTGCGCCGTGCGGGTGAAGGGTTGAATTGATCCAGCGCAGCAGAATCATCATTGGATTCAACTAGATTTCACTGTGCTGTTTGATCAGGTCTTGCAATTCCTTTTCTTCTGCGCTGCCTCCTTCAAAATATTTCAGGATGCACAGTTTTGGAGTCTCCACGCACAACCCACCGTTCAACGCCTGAGAAGTTCCTGGCATTCTCCACCCGCCATCCAGCAGCCTGGCGCTGGAGTCCAGCATCACAACGTGGGCATTTGATGAGAAAACCTCCCGGAGTACACCGATGGCCTGATGTTGTACCTGTACGGTACCTGGTACCCCGTACCCCAAGCTTCGTGGTCGCAACCAGGCAAAGGGAACTTCAAAAACCTAGTCGGGCGCCGGGCGCTGCTGTAATTTGCGGAGTGTTGAGTTAAGTTCAGTTCCTTACAATTGAAATTGGTTGATGTGTTGATGGAACTTTTGATGGATATTGATGGATACACTGATGGATACATATTTATATAATATAGGACGTTCCTGTCTCCAACCGCTGTTGTTGCTTTGAGCTCCTCCCAGTCGCGGACTGGGTGCTGCCAGGTGACCATCGCGCGGGCGATCTGCTGGACCATCTGCGAGGGCGGTGTGCCTCCGGAAGCGCCCAAGACCGACGGATGGGGAAGACCATCCGTGGAACGCCACCTCCCCCCTCTCACAAAGGAGAGGTGGTAGGTACCTGCCAAAAACCGCCTGCCCAAGCGCCATTGCACAGGGTGGTTCCAGATGCTGCAGGACGGGGAGTTGTGTTCCATCAACAGCACCAGTGGGCGAAGAATGTTGGCTTTGGAGAAGAACTCCACTGCGACGAGCGTGATTTGACCTGCTCTTGGCCTGAATGTGTCCAACCAACAACGACCAATCACCAGTCCCAATGGGACTAAAAACACCGCCGCTGGGACATGGGTTTGGACACAGTTGCGGTCTCCATTTCTGCACCAAAGCCTTGCGGCCTCCGCAAAACCACCGAGAGCAGCTGCCACCTCCCCAACGCAAAAGAACCTGTTGCCTGCCATGCCCTACTCCCCGCCGTTTCGCACGTGAACAACCCGTCTTCGCACCTGTGGTCGCTGTTTTCTGCGGCGCTTGGATGGAATGAATCACTGCGCGGTTCTCAGTGGCCTCGAGTGATGTGAGGAGCAGCTGTCCCGCAGTTCCGAAGGAGAAAACAACGGCAGCGGGATTTGGAGGGGACCTCTGAGCCGCATCCGGGCGGCTGTGGATCTGGCTGTGCAAGGAAAAAACAGTGGACCCTAAAAGCAACTTGGGTGAGACAGAAAAAATAGAAAAAGCAAACCTATTGTTGGTGTTTGAGCCACACCAAAAGTGAGTCTTGGCACGTTGCTCCAATCTTCAGAAGTGAACCACACCAGGACAAATGAGAAACATAATATTGAGATCAGGGTAGTGCATTCATGATTTAAAAAACATGTGGGAAGAAAAGGGACACATGCCAGGGGTTTCGGAGATAGCGGCCGGTCCAAAATACCCCAGGCCAATGTGCATGCTCCGGGCTCATGAGTTTCTGAGGACACAAGTTAAGAAATGTTCAAAGGCACTTGACAACTTGGTCAGTCTCGGATCTGAATCACAAAACCAAATAAAAGCGCCCCAACTCTTGGGCTAGTTTCTGCCATTGACTCTTGCATCATTCACGCAGGCTACTGCTGTTTCTGCTTGGGGCTCCCACCGTGCTGATCTCCCAGCCTTTGGCCTCAGGTAACCCCCTGAAGAACCTGTCGGCTAATCTTCGATTCCTATATGAACCCAAGTATACTCGTTAAACTTGTTCATAACAAATTCGTTCACATGAACGTACTTCACGTGGTTGAAAGTTGAAAGGTCGCACTTTAATTACTTGTCAGCAACCACCTGTAAATTAGTACTAGGAGTGATCGTGGAGTAAAAGTTTATATATACTAGTGAATGAACAGACCCTGATTAGAGACTAGTTAAACTATGTTAAACTTGCTTAGTGACTGGAAAAACTGGGTGTGTACCTTACCGTGAAACACCCGTGAACCACAATGTCAGCTTTCTGGAAGCGATGATCCGAGGAAGCGTACAAAAAGTGATCGGAGAGCGGGTGTGCAAAGTCATGCAGTGAAAGTCGTTCTTATGGATGTGTACTCGTTAAACTATGTCAAACTGGTCTCCTGGGTTCGCAGGGTATAGTGACTGAAAGTGGCCGCAAGCCAGCTAGAGGTTGAACATGATCTTCAAGTGATTTCTCGGGTCAGCCAATAAACACATTTAATATAATTGAAACAATATATGTATCACATAATACTGAACATCCTGGTTGATCCTGCGCCACACTTTTTCCCTATGAAATAGTGGGATGTCTTCCATAGTGTCTTCCATCGACGGTAACTATACATAACTACCAATCCCCGTGCTTACTGCCAGCAAAGCTTCTGAACGGCCATGTGTTCGCCATGTTCGTCGACATGTTCTGACCCGTGGGTCACGTGACCAACAAATCAACAAAATGCTGGACAGAGTGCACTATCATCTATACAATTAAAAATAAAGCCTCAGGATGCCATATTGAAAGTGCAAAGGAGGATATGATGATATGACCATCAGTCCTCACCTGGGATCAAAACCCCAGTTCTTTTATTTTCCGGAAGCTTGACGTTTGTCCTCAGGCTCCGCGCCACCGCGTCAGCAGTCTTCGCGGTCTCCGCCGCCACTGCGTTGGCTGTGCTTGGTTCAGGTGGGCCTCTCCAGTCGAGTGTGGGACATGGTCGGTGAGTTTGTGGCGTCTGGAGGCTCATGCAGGTCCACTAGACCAGCACGACCAATCCTCTCCTCTCATGTTAAAGCACCAAGAGAGGCTTTGGTCGTAAATCTTGCAGAATGGCCTGGCTCTCGCGTCCTGGCCACCACAAATAGAAACCAACGCATCCAACTCCCCTGCAGCGCCTCCCAAAGCTTTGAGCACTGCTTTTTCGATCGCAAGTGTCACGTTCTGAGCGTGGTGGGCCTAGATCAAAGCGAGCTTCAAAAGCGTCAAGAAGTGGCAGAAAAGCCTGATTCCCCCGAAACGATCACTGATTGGTTGGACACATGGATGCATTTCATGCCGGAGAAAAACACCTGAAACCACTCGGGCGTCCTTTTGCTTGGGGTAGTGCCTCAAATATGTTTGCAGTGGGGCTTTCTTGCACGTGTGACATCACCATGATTCTCTTTATCACAGTTCTCAATCTGCAAAAAGCTGACTCTGGAGCAGGGCTGCTGGCAGGTTCAACCCCAAGGTTCGTTCTACGGCACATGACATGGCAGTGAACCCTTACGGAGGTTTATGTATGGCCCATATTACCTGCAAAAGTCCAGTTCATCTTTCCTGAAGACCCCTAAAAACTCAAGCCGAAAACACCTACCACTACTCAAGCCTATCGGACATGGACTCACGAGAACTTGGACCCTCCACTGCCACTGAAAGGCCACGATACAAGAGGACCCCCGTCCAGATCGTTTCCAACCGACGGCCATTTACGGTCCAACATGGTCCAACCTGGTCCAGCATCTGGAAACCCCCCAAAATAGGGATGGGCAGCCTGCAAGATTGCCATGTGTGAAGCATCTTAGCTGAATCTCCTGCATCCTCCGTTTTCGATGTTTCGGCACTCATCTCACTCCTTCGCGCACGCGCGCGCGCGCGGATCGTGGGATCGGTCGGGAGAGGAAAAGTGATCCCACCTGGGCCTGTAAGCCAGCGGTGATGCCAGCGACATAGGCCGAGGCGTCCTACGGACAGATGACAGGAGGATTGGAGCTGATTGGGCAGCACCTGAGAAGAGACCCGAGAGCTTCGGAGTTCAGGATTTTCAAGATTCCGGGCAACGAACGTCGCAGTTGGTTCCGGCCTTGCGCTGGGATTCATCCCAAGCAGAGGTGGCCACAATGGCTGGCCAAGCTGCCTGGTGGGCCGCCTGCCGCAAGCCAGCAAGTCCCGCCGCAAATTCCCTGAAAAATATCCCTCACAGTAGTCATACAGCGGTCCTCTTAGAAATAGATGCAGTGTCCCATAGGCACCTCCTTTCTATAGCTACATTTTAGGGGCCGAGCCAGGAGCTGCACTCACTGCTTGTGAAGCAGGGGATGTTTCTGGGCGATGCCCTTAGGAGCAGGCATCCCAGCACGATCATCAATGGGCCTGGTGGTGTATGCGAAGTCCGGCAACAAAAACGTTGAATCAGTTCAAGCCAGAGCTTTTGGGGCGAACATTTCCCCCATTTGGTTCCCAACAATCTGACCCCAAAACTCACAGGTTCCAATATGGTGGTTCTGCCGGGCAGGGTTGGCTTGCCTAGTGTCATGGGCAAATCCCTACCAGCCTCCTCCGCCGCCGAAGCCGAAGCGGCTGAGCTGGCCGCGAAGCTGACTGCAAGGCAGCGGAGAGCAGCCTAGGGAATCATGAGAACTACCCGGCTGCAACCAAGCCCCTTTGTGGCTTGACCTGCCATCAGTGATACAGTGCAACTGAAAGATGGTTTTCTGATCGTGGCAATGTCCGACATGTTCTTTTGCCGTTGCACATCGGTGAATGTGGAAACACAAGGATGCTCAAAAGGCATGAATTATATGCAAATGATCACGTTTGATGATCTTTGATTGGTTTAGGTTTAGATGGATCATGCACTGCGGGATTTCTAAAAATTATACAGTATTAAAACAGGTGAATGCACGTGATATCAAATGACCTTGGACTAATACCCAAACACTCCATGGGACTGTCATATATGCCGCCCCATTGACCCCCAAAACCACCCTAACTGATCGGCATATATGGCA